GTCTACCAACTTTAAAAGAAAGAATACCCGGAGAGTGATCAGATATCCCCCTCGGTTCAAAGAAAACTGAAGCATCCCCAAATGTAGTGATAAAAGCAGAATTTCCCAGGATACGATCAAGTTTGCGCATAACACCATCTCCCCCCGAAGGTTTCTGTATCCAAGTAAATTGGCATCCTTGATACGAAATGTCAAACAATTCTGCCTCTTCCAGACAGAGATGAAACTCATCCATGTCAGAATTTCTCCTAGAGGAACCCCTCAACCCATCATGAGGGAAAAGCATTGAATTAAAATCACCCATCGCGACCCATGCTTTCCTTTGATTAAACACATGAAATTCACCAAACGCCCGCCAAAGCTCACGCCTATCCATACCCGTATTACACCCATAAACAAAAGTAATAAAAATAGGATCACGTTGCCCAAAAATCCTAATCTCAAAAATAGGATCACGTTGTCATAAGGATTCTAATTGGCTCAAAATGACACTAATTGGGTCATATTTAGTTTGATCAGACTTAATGGGTATAATGTGCTTAGTTCGTCATAATTAGTCTAATAAGACATTAATTGGAGTGATTGAGGGTGCATTTGGTATTAGTGGATATACTGAAAGGGGAAAAGCTCCCCAGGCAATTTTATAAAGGCAAATAAAAGCAAACAATCAAAGTACAAATCAGCAAGAAAAGCTACGGCAACTTTGACTCACAAACCAAGCAATAAGAAGCCAAAATTAACAAAGACAAATGCACCAAAAAAGAAATCTAAAACAAGCCGAAAAATAGATGGAGCAAATCACCAAAGACTCCCAGAACCGAAACCCATCACCATCCTCTTGATCACGTGTCATTGATTCTCGTGAGCTTCTTCCTTGTCTTTCAAGCCATTCTTTGAAGAATCTGCATCTTGATTTCGGCCATGACTTGATCTCTAGTGTGGTTATGATTGTCAAAGAACTTTCTATTCCTTTCCATCCATATGTGATACACCGTAGTCGAGATACCAAGCTTTTGTACCGTAGACCACAAGTGCCACCTTTGCGATATCCCCATATTAAGGATATCCTCCCAATTGTCCGTACAATTCCGGATGCCTATTTCCCTCTTTATTACCTTCCAAATACTACTCGAGTAGTTGCACTCAAAAAATAAGTGATTGTGTGTTTCAATCACCAATTTGCAAAACACACATTTCAGATCAGGAGGATCATGCTTCCACTGGCTAATGCGGTCTTGGGTTGGTAATCTTATCTGACATGCCATCCACATGCAGAGAGCATGTTTAGGTATGTATGCTTTATTCCATACCACCTTGTGCCAATGCACAACCGGTCC